TTTTCATGGAAATTACTTATGATTGAGTATTGGTGTTAGCTGAGATGAGTAGAAGTTGGGTTAAGATTGGTTATAGTTGTTTCTCCCTTGTCGGGACGTATTTACTTTTACTGTCGAATCCCTTGCCGGGATAGTGTAGCTTATTGTTGATCCCTTGCCGGGACTCTTGGTATGGTTGTTGCTAAAGGTATATAAATGTTATGTTGGACCGGGCTGCACGCTGCAACAATACTATATATGGAACGGGTTGCACGTCGCAATAATGTTATGTTGAATCAGGTTGCACGCTGCAACAATACTATATATGGAACGGGTTGCACGCTGTAGCAATGTTATGTTGGATCGGGTTACACTCCGCAATAATGTTATATTGGATCGGGTTACACGCCGCAATAGTTATATAAATGGATCGGGTTGCACGCCGCAACAGTGTTAAATGATAGGGATCGGGTTGCGCGCCGCAACAGTGTTATTATGGTTTTGGTGTAAATCTTGAATTGTTCTCTCATATTTCTCTTAAGTTTCTACTGGATTCGATATTTCCCCCGTAGCATGTACCCCTCCCATGTTAATTGTTTATTCCTGTTTATTTTCCGTTATATATTATATAACTGCACAAGTTTATCTAGAGTCTGGTCCTAGCCTCGTCACTACCTCGCCGGGGTTAGGCCAGACACTTACCAGCACATGGAGTCGGTTGTGCTGATGCTACACTCTGCACTATGTGCAGATTACGGAGCAGCTTTTGGACAGTAGCACTTGGGGAGCCTGCCTTCAGTCCAGCCAGAGATCCCGAGGTAGTCCTGCAGGCGTCTGCAGGCCCGACGCTCTTCTACTTTATTATGTGCTCTATTTTCAATTGATTTCGAGACAGATTGTATTCCTTTCAGACATTTGTTGTTGTAATCTTAATACGTCCGTGATATTGTGACACCAGATTCCGGGTAGAGATGTGTGTTGTCATTATCGTACTGATCTTGGTTATTATATTAGATTAAGTCTTCCGCTTGATTTCATTTATCGTTAATATCTAAATGTTGGATATCTGTTAATTCAGATTGTTAAAAAAGGTTAAAAATGGAAGAGTTAGAAATTTTCTATGTTTAGTGGCTTGCCTAGCTTCTATGAGTAGGCGCCATCACGACTCCCGAGGGTAGAAAATCCGGGTCTTGACAAAAGAGGACGAAATAAGTTCACTCTGAGGAAATTACATTGCCACGCCGCATGGGGCGGCGCAAGGCGCGGCGCAACAATGTAAAAGACTGCCTGACAAGAAAAGTGAGAGGCTGTAGACAAAGCCCATTAGCGCGCCACATGGTGCGGCGCAGCTGTACATTTTTTACAGAGCCAAGTCCTATTTCGCGCAGGAAAGGGTGTTTCTTCTAGGCCCTACCCTACTTGGTGTAAATACATATAAAAATACTATTTTGAGAACTTGTGACATATCTTAGACCTAGGGAGAAAACGTTTGGAGCAATTTCCGGAGGAGATTAACATCGAATTCTTCATTCCTTCATCTTTACTTTGTAATTTAATTATGCAAATTATTTGGGAAATTGTTACTATGAGTATGAGTAGCTAAATTCCTAATCTAGGGTTTTGACGGACCCTGTTGAAAGATGATTTTCTTGTTATGTTAATATAAATTCGCCATAGTATTATCTCTATTTGTTCAACTACATGCTTATTGTTGTTGATTGAAGGGCCCTCAATTAATTGTGCCTATTTAGTGTAGATTACTCGGGAGAGAGTTCATATTTAGGTAGTTGTTGAACACCATCACTCCTAACGTATATGAGGGATCAATACGAAAGGTTTAAAAGTGGGATTAGGGATAACGAAACCTTGGGTGCGATCTAAGTGAGTTGTACTTAAAAGCTAGCTAGCGTAATTCGGGAGAATATGTCTATATATTGTTGCAATTACTCGGGAGGGAGTTACGACAATCAGAGTGCTCATGATCGATAGAGAAGACTTAGGCAAATTTATAGCAAACATAGTGGAAAGGATTCCGACAACAGGGGAAATCAAAACCTTGGAGCCTTCCAATTTTTGTTTACAAACCGTTCATAGTTAGCTCTTAATTACTGCATTTTCATTTCGTAATATTTAATTAGTAGACATCCAATCTGTTATTTAAATATTTCTAAAGAATGAATACGTGAATTTCTGTGAGTCCAATAGCTGTGATTGATAGGTTAATTCCCTGTGGGATTCGACTCCGAACTTGTTAATCGGAATATATTTGCAACGACCGCTTTATCCTTTTTATAAGGAATAGTTGGGCGTGATCAATACGTCATTTGCATATTCATTTTTGTAAGAAAAAAAGCAACTCAACTTATATTCTCAAAATAAAAAATCCAAAATATCGAGACCGATTAATCCGAAACTAAACTTAAAAGGTCCGATGCAAACCAAACTTATTTGTATTGAATTTGAATTGTCATTTTTCAATCCAAAAATAAAAAATTCAAACCGAAAACTAATATATTCAATCTGAACTAACGGAACCTCTACCTCAAGGTTGAGTGTCTATCCATTTCAATATTGAACCTCAATCAGAGGTTCTCTTTTATCATCACATATATCAGTATGCTAATATACAAATGTTTAACAAGTTTAAAAAGAATTCTGGCAAAAATAAGACCTGATATGTATAAGGGTAAACCAAGTAAGTCTTAACTGCAACGAATTGGTGAGTATAACTTATTTATATCATTAATTTGCTTCTATATTTTTATGTTCATGGTTAATTTTGCATGAATTTCAAGGAATAATAGATTTTTCGTAGACAACTGTGCTATATGCGTTTTAATATTTAGCAATTAGCATGCCTAGCTCCCTTAAAACATTCAGAAATTATGATACTAACGTAACAGCTGAAAATCTGTAGAACCTTTTTTGAAATAGGAGTGGCGCATACGACGAAAAGTTACAAGAGGAGAATGACTAATGAATATACTATCAGCGATTTAGAGCGGAGCTACAAGACTAAAATCCAACTTTACATTTTCTAATTAAAAATTTAATTTGATAAATTATTTTTGCAGGATCGTGATAACCAGGTATCACGTGTAAGCTAACAAAACATACCTTCAACTAGGGGTGTACATGGACCGGGTTGGTTCAGTTTTTATCAAAATCAAATCAAATCATCTATATCGGTTTGGATTGGTTCGGTTTTGTCGGGTTTTTCAGGTTTTCGGGTTTTTTTGTTACATGAATATTATTTCAATCTTACTTTATTAAAATTATAGATAAAGCTTTGATAAATGAATATATGTTTAGTAAATATGGAAAAAAATTGACAAACATATGATCTATTAAAATATTCTAATGTGAGAATTTTTTTAGTAACACATGATAGTTATTTTCTTAGAAGTCTAACAATAATTTTTCGTTAATTTACGCTTTCAAGGTTAATACATGAGAGGATCCCAAATATTTCTACATTTTCTAAAGAAAATTCACTATAAAGTCTTAAAAATATAAATAAAATTTATATATTTATATGTCGGTTTGGTTCGAGTTTTTTTATTCAATACCAAATCTAGTCTAGTTTTTTAATCGGTTTGATTTAGTTTTTCGGTTTGGTGCGATTTTTCGGTTCGGTTTGAACACTCATACCTTTAACAATAATAAATCAGGCAACAAAATAAAAATATATACCAAAAGCGAAACAAATATTTATCGTGATTCGATTGATTGTCTTACATCACGAGCAATCCACATAAAAAAATACAAAATATCCAGAGTATAACAATACTTATCTCACAAGTTTTTCCTTTAAACAAGACTTTCAAACTCCTTAGGGGTCGTTTGGTTGGAAAGGAGTTATCCCAGGATTAATTATCCCGAAATTAGTTATCCCAGGATTAGTTATTCCACCTTTTCATGGGGATAAAAAATACTACAATCCCGGGATAACTAATCACAGGATTAATTATACCGCAGTTTTCTACCAACCAAATATGGGATAAACTCTTCTTAAATTTAGTCGCGAGATTAATTATTTCTTATCCATCATACCAAACGAGCTCTTAGGAGTCGTTTGGTTGGAAAGAAGTTATCCCAGGATTAATTATTTCGGGATTAGTTATTCTTCCTTTCTATGGGGATAAAAAAAATACTACAAATTTAGGAATTAATTATACCATAATTTTTTCTCAACCAAACATGTGATAAACTCTTCTTAAATTTAGTCCCAAGATTAATTATTACTTATCCCTCATGCTAAACGAGTCCTTAGAGTCTACATTGTGGATGCTACTAGATGAGAACCAAAGATCCTCAATTTATAAAAGTCCAAAATTTTATCCTCCAAGAAAAAGGACTAGCCAACAATAACAAAAACAATAAAAAACCTAGTGAAATCCCACAATTAGCCAAATATATAAAAAAAGTATAATTTTCTTTTAGGAAAAGAAAAAATTAATTACGGCAAATATTTGATTAGTCATCGAATTTAAGAATTTAAAAGAAACTCTTTGAAATTTATGATCACAAACATATAATGCATTTTTTGTGATATATAAATTATTTTTTATAATACTAACATAATAAGCTTATGTTATTTTAAAATAAAAATATGATTTTCTTAAGCAGAATATAAATTAAAATTACAATCTAAAACGAAATATGACATTTTAATTATTAATAATTATGAAAATAATACTCCTTACGTTCCGGTTTATATGAACCTATTTTTTTATCCTTTCCAAAAAGAATGACCCATTTCTAAATTTGGAAACAATTTAGCTTAAACTTTCAATTATACCTTTAATGAGAAGCTTTTATAATTACACAAATATGTTGGACCTCTTTTTAACTTATTTAGGACCACAAATTCAGAAAGTATTCATTTTTTTTAAACTTTGTACCAGTCTAACCGTTCACATAAATTGGAACGGAGAGAGTATAAAATAGGAGTAATACTAGTATAATTTTTGTTTAAAATTATATAATAATATAGTAGAAAAAGAAAGAATGCGAGGGCCACAACTCATCTACCGTCACGCACTCCCTTGTCTCTATGCTATGACTGATTGACCATCATTATATTTCTCCAAGTTTCTTTCTTCTCATCCTGAGATTCAAACAAACTATTTCTCTCTTCTAAATCTACTGCAAAATGAGCTGGTGGTGGGCTGGAGCTATTGGTGCTGCTAAGGTAAAAGTTTCAATTCCTCTTTCTCTTCACTCATTCTCTATTTTGCATCTATTAGAAATGAAACAGGTCCAAGTAAAAGTTGAATCAATCTATATATAGTCGATTTTTACGTCTGCTTGGAATTGAGACATACAGTAGTTGTTTTTTTTGATTTTACATCTAATCTAATTCAAATTTTAATTCCATAGAAAAAATTCGAAGAAGATGATGCACCACCCAAGTACCAAAGCGTAGCTCTAATCATCGGTGTCACCGGCATCGTCGGAAACAGTCTCGCCGAGATCCTCCCTCTCGCTGACACCCCCGGCGGTCCTTGGAAGGTCTACGGTGTTGCCCGCCGTCCTAGACCGTCTTGGAACGCCGATCACCCCATTGACTACATCCAATGTGACATATCAAACCCAGAAGATACCCAATCCAAACTCTCCCTTCTAACTGATGTTACTCACGTTTTTTACGTGACATGGGCCAGTAGATCCACTGAGGTTGAAAACTGTGAAATTAATGGGAAGATGTTTCAAAATGTTCTCAGTGTTATTATCCCTAATTGTCCCAACTTGCGCCACATCTGTTTGCAAACAGGCCGAAAACATTATTTGGGCCCCTTTGAATTGTATGGTAAAGTTGCTCATGATTCTCCATTTCACGAGGATTTACCTAGATTAGACGCCCCCAATTTCTATTACACTCTTGAGGATGTTTTGTTTAAGGAGGTGGAGAAGAAGGAAGGACTGACATGGTCAGTTCATAGGCCCGGGACAATATTCGGGTTTTCACCGTATAGTTTGATGAACATTGTTGGAACGCTTTGTGTTTACGCAGCTATATGTAAACATGAAGGGTTGCCATTGAAGTTTCCAGGCGTTAAAGCAGCGTGGGATGGATACTCGGATTGCTCGGATGCAGATTTGATTGCTGAGCATCAGATATGGGCTGCAGTGGATCCGTATGCTAAGAATGAGGCGTTTAATGTGAGCAATGGGGATGTTTTCAAGTGGAAGCATTTCTGGAAGGTTTTGGCGGAGCAATTTGGAGTGGAAGCCGCAGAGTTTGATGAAGTGAATAGGTGCACTTTGGCAGAGATGATGAAAGACAAAGGTCCAGTTTGGGATGAGATTGTGAAGGAGAACGGATTGACGCCTGCTAAATTGGAGGATGTTGGAGTTTGGTGGTTTGTTGATCTTATTCTTGCTGGAGATTGCCCTCTAGATACTATGAACAAGAGTAAGGAACACGGTTTCTTGGGATTCCGGAACTCGCAAAAAGCCTTCATTTCCTGGATTGATAAGGTGAAAGCCTACAAAGTTGTTCCTTAGTTTGATGTGCGTTTCTTGGTTTTACTGTGTGATAAATTATTTGAGCTTGTTTCCTCTCTATTATGTTGTTTAATAAGAAGTAATAATAGCAAATTGAAGCAATTTCTAGCTGAAATGATGTAACTTTTGGCTTCTATATGCTGTTTTGCTGTAATTATCCATTTGTTATGTTTTTTTGCATCTTCTTTTTGTACATGTTGGTAGCCTTGATGACTGGAAAGTGCTTATTAGTTTGATGAGATCTGTTTAGCATCTTTTTTTTTTATTGTGTTGATATTTGTTTATCACCTTTCTAATGAAGAAGTTAAACAACTTCTTGTTGCACTACCATTTCTACAAAGTTGTTACATGTTAGTAATGTTTGACCTATTTGAGTGTCTAACCTTTAACGTTGTAAGCACATATGGGTGCACTTGATTTATAAATGGATATTTTCATTGCAAATGGAAAATGAGCTAATATCTGACAAGATTACAAGTGAAGTAGAAGACAACGGAAATTAGCAATCTGAAGTTTCAAGTCCATGGTCTGAATGTGCCCTGCTTGTTTTGAATAATGCCATCTTTGAATGCGAATTGCTAAATCTAGAAGGTCTTATGGATGGTGATGCATTTGCTATGAAAGTCGAATACTGAGGTTAACGAATATTCATCTTTTAAAATCTGAAGTGTATACCAGATGAAGAACAATTTTTTGATATAATTGCATTTCAGAGGTTGTGTAACATGTACATCAATAAGGAGATCAGGTAGTCGTCCCATCGCTGTTTAGGGTACATAGTTAGAGTACACCATATCTATGTATCAAATTGGATATCAGTTATCTGGATATGACTGGGTAGTTGCAAATTCAAGAAGAATGTGGTCTAACAAACTGAAGCAGTTCCCAAATCCAGATCCTCATCATGTAGAATTACAAATACATGATCTTGGATGTCTAATTGATAACATGCATCTTCAATTATTCTAGCGTAAGAAATGACTTCAATTATAGCAAAGATGAATGTAATCATAAAAGAGCACATCTTGATTCAGCATGACGCTTAATAGAAAAGGATCAAAACAAGTGTTTTCAACATCATATCAAAACAAGTGTTTTCAACATCATATGTTGTTCTTTTTGGTCAACAACATAAATTATGTAATAATATATTATTTTGACAGGCAAACTAATAAGTCAAGTTGCTTGATTCACCATGATTTATTTGCTTCTTCAGTGTTTATATTTTTGATGTTTGTAATAGATTATCATGACCTGTTTCTGGATTAAAGCCTGCACAAATGTTTTGGGGGGTCATTAGACTTGGATCAATCCTATTTCAACCCTCTTCCTAGTTAGCAAGGGTGCCTAACCAGAAAATGGAAATTGGGTTTTCCTCTATGAAAGAGCTAGATTAGCAGTTTATCTGTGATGAATTCGTACTTAATTTTTTCTTGCCCATTCTTCTCTTGATTGAATTGCTTGATGCTTAACACTTGTAATTGGAGTCTATTTCGGGACTTATGGAAGCTCGTGCAAAGAAGATTTATATGTGAGTAGTTCCCCATCTCTCTCTAGCCTGGCTGCACTCTATCTAATATATCTCTAACTTATTCAATGAGAATTTTTAAGCAGTCCCCTTACTTTAGTGCTAATGTAGAATCAATCAATAGTTCTAGTCTGGATAGGTTGATCAAATTTGATAGATTTGGCATTGGAAACAAGAGGTTCCTAGAGTAGCTAGATGGGAAATAAAATAATTCTTGTTCGTACATAGACTTCTCTGGTACGAAATAGCCACTTCAAATAAGTTCATTGCTCCGGCTCAACATACGATTAATCCAGCATGAGTTAGGTGATTTCAATCAACAATCTTGTCTATTGTCGTCCGTATATGTCTTGGATGTTGATCTTAAAATTTGAAGCACAATCTAAAGAAGAGAGTACTTGCGTGGTATTTTAAGCAACAAAAAGATCAAAGTGATTGCCTCAACTTTTATGTCCTTTCCTAAGTGACGTTATTGCTTTCCGATCATTCTGAGGAGCAAAGCACAAGTTTAATGTTCGTTTAAAAGCTAAAATGACAGGTAGTAGTAATCAATAGGGATTTACGCCATGGATTGCTGACAGTAAAAGAATTTTATATTGTCAGGATAATTTAGTGGTTATAGCAAGTTATCATTTTATTTTTAAGTTACTAGTAGTATATTAGATATTGCGATACAGAATTACTTGTTGTATTAAATCAACTTGATGGTGTAATAAATATATACATCGTAAGTACTTCGTATTTAAACTCATCAATAGGTATAAGCTTGAGGTCGCTGGTTACAATTCTCATTTAGCAGACGGGCAAAACGTTATTTTTCTACTAGAATGAATACCATGTCCATTGACATGAATCACGCCCCAGGAAGATCCTCATGTCCCTTAGCAATGTTCCTTGGCAGTGTCAGTCAACAAGAATGGGAACCATGGATTTTTTTTTAATCCACCAAGGGATGTGGTGGGAAGCATGGGATTCATCTATCCTTTTATTTTTAATCGGGTCAACTTGTGCACACCTAAACTGTTTTACCGGGTATCTGTTATCTCCCACAAACACAAGCTTTGTCCATAAAGGTTTGGGCAGATGAGGGAAATCACTAGTATTTTTTTTGCCTTTGTTAGGATTTGAACCTGGGACCTCATAGTCTCCTTCCATTTTATTGACCATTAGGCCACACCTTTGGGTGAAATTTCTAGTAGGGAACGTTTCACCTTTCAATGTACCTTATACGCGGTGAATCTGGATCAAATCAAACTAGTATGTTCCTGGCAGTAGATAATTAAACAAAAAAAATATGGATTTTAAGTTGGGACAGTATAAATGTTTTGTTTGGTATAAGACAGATTATGAGTCCGTTAGTGAATGCGACTTTATCATATTCAACAATGTTTAAAAAAATTAATAGAAGATTAGCAGGCGGGTCAAGGTCCTATGAGATGCATGCTACTTGAAGTAATATGTTTTCGGACGAATTGTTTTCATGCGTAAATCATTTTTTAGTGTTTAGTCATATTGAATTGTTAAAAATGATTTTTCAATATAATATTTCTACTTGAAATGGGAAAATGACATGTCACTTATTACAACTTACAAGTATCCAAGCTCTAGTTGTTTGTCAACTTTTTTCAACACACTTTAGCACCCAAAAATTATAATATATCAAAGCACTATCTCCGTTAACGGTACGTGTTATAGGATTAATATATGTTCCTTTTATAACCAATCAAATACAAAACAGTATCCAGAAAACTGTTTCCGGAGATAAGAAAATGTTATCTTTGTTGAAAATTTTATGTTATACACTTATACCAAAACACACCCTCATGATGTCATTGAGATGGCAAATTGGAATTTCATAAAACTCTGCGTTACAAAATAAAAAGTAGGATACTGGATGGCAAAGTTAAGCCGTCTTAAATGTTAATGTATCATGGAAATTGGAAATCAGAAGATATCTTACAAAGTTCTGATAACAAAGAAGAGGAGGTGTCTATAACTTGACTACACATTGATAATTCCTATTTCCTACTAGATTACATTGATAAGTCGTACTACTGATTTTAATTTATGGAACTACTTTTACTTGCATTAAATGAAATTTGATCGCATCATTGCACATGAGATTTAGTTGTGTAGTCCGTTACAAATCTTATTTTAGTTATATGACCCTTCTCATTAGAGATCAATAATAATAACACAAAAAATTTATATATAAAATATAGGACACTGCACACGATGTATATAATACGTGGTTACACAAAAATTTCTCTTTTACCGCATATAGATCAATTAATTGATTCTACTGCAGGCCATGAACATTGATTTTACCGCAAGATCTTGAACTTTTAAGTTTTTTAGACGTATATTCTAGCTATAATCAAATAAAGATGCATCCTCTAGATGAGGAAAAAACTTCATTTATTACAGATAGGGAGACATACTGTTATAAAGTTATGTCGTTCGGCTTAAAAAATGCTGGAGCAACGTACCAAAAGCTGGTGACCAAAATGTTTCAAGAGGACTTGGGAAAAAACCATGAAAGTCTACATTGACGACATGTTGGTTAAATCAGCATGAGCATGGGACCATTTTCAGTACTTGAGTGAAATCTTCGAAATTCTCCACAAGTATAACATGAAATTAAACCCAGAGAAATGCGCCTCTGGTGTCGCTTCAGGTAATTTTTAGGATTTCTTCTTTCTAACAGGGGCAACGAAGTGAATCTTGCTCAAATCAAAGCAATTAAGGAATACCCGATGTACTTACAAGCGAAAAAGATGTACAAAAATTAACAAGTAGAGTTGCAGCTTTAGAAAAATTTATATCCAAATCTTCAGAAAAATACTTTAAATTCTTTTCAATATTTATAAAGCAAAATCAATTTGAATGGACTGACGAATGTCAACAAGCTTTGAAGGATTTGAAGTTGTATTTGTCAAAACTACCCCTGTTAGCAAAACTAAGGGACGGAGAAAGATTATTTGTTTACCTAGCTGTATCAGAGGTGGCAGTAAGCGCAGAGGTGGCAGTAAGCGCGGTGCTGGTACTTGAAGACAAGGGTAAGTAATCTCCAATTTATTATGTTAGCAAATTCTTATTAGATGACGAGACACAGTATCCCCATTTAGAGAAACTCGCATTAGCATTAATAATGACATCAAGAAAGTTACGACCCTATTTTCAATGTAATCATATTTCTGTTATAACTATTTTTTCGTTAAGAAATATATTGCACAAGCAAGAGTTACTAGGGAGGTTAGCTAAATGGTCTATAGAGCTTAGTGAATATGATATTATCTGTCAGCCTAGAACTGCCATAAAATCTCAGGTACTAGCGGATTTTGTAGTGGATTTCAGCTCGAAAGTTTTTTCTGAAGCCAAAAATGAGGTACGAGTATTTACCGGGTCTAATCTGGGGACTTGGACCTTATATGCCGATGGGTCCTCAAATGTAAAAAGGAGCAGATTTGAGAATTGTTTTAATTTCACTTCCGGGTGAGTATAAGACAAGCAATAAAGTGTTATCCAATTACTAACAATGAGGCAGAGTATGAAGCCGTGATTGTAGGTTTGGAACTCGCAAGAGAACTTGGATTGAACAAATCAAAATCAAAAGTGACTCGCAGCTGAAGTAAATCAAATGCAAGGGAATTACGTGAAAAGTGAGACGCGAATGCAAAAATACCTTGAAAAGGTACAAGAGTTACTAAGGCATTTCCAAATTTGG